ATATCTAATATTTTAAAATCACGCATATCTTTAGCTGCATAAGTGTTAAAAGGCGGCATGCATGTGGTGTGGTGTGTGTGGTCCCTGTATGATTTTGCTACAGGCTATGAGCCTATCCAAAATTATATAAGTACAATTGTAAGTATGCTGGACCAGACTGTACAAATAGGTTATAAGTAGGTCATCTGCAAAGGGAAGATTAGAAATAAAAAAATTCAAATTTGGAGAATATGAAAGTTTAGTGAAGAATCATGCTCGGAATTTGTAGCAAAAGCTTTCAAAGTGATCTTAATTCTTTGTTTTTTATGACAGGACTTAACTATGCCTATTCTATGTAACTCTGACTTTGTGGCAGATTTCGTTTTAATGCAGGTAGAAAGAAGGATGATAATTATTATGTGGGGACCCATTTACTGGAAAGATCAAACTTTACAGCATCTGGCATGATGTGTATGCTCAAATGTACACCTTAGTTAGATGCATAGCCTTTTTCAACACATTAACTAGGCAGCATTTTTGCCACCCAGTGAAACAATTTTGCCACTTATTCAGCTGAGATTTTCACTCACTGGGTGGCAAAGGCTTCAAGGGGGAATTGCAGTTAATCAAATGTTAAAATGTATGCCTTTGAAATGTACAACTTAAAACAATTACAAGAAATGATTGCAAGAAATTTCTGTTCTCTTAGCAAGCAGGAAACCATGTCTTTCTTTGTAGCCCCAGACCCCCTAAACTTCTTGACTGCACGGCTCACAACCTAGCAAATAATATCATTGATATCATTGATATAAGATCATTTTAGCCAGGCAGTTTATAGATTATTACAAATAATGCCAGGAGGTTTCGTAAAGTTTTTAAGAACATTTACACATCTCTAGTGAAACACGCCCAAGCAAAGAAGGATAGTTACATTATGTAATACACCAGTGTAATTATGTTATATTATGTTGGTAATATTGTGTTATATTTGCCACCCAGTAGAAATTCCTTGGATAGAAAGGATATGGATGGATATCAATTTGTTGCAACCAGGATTTTCTGCACCTGACCCAACATGTCAAGTCATGTTCATGCACTAAAATCATGACAAGACAAGACACAGAGTAGGACATCAAAAAATTTATTCTTTAATCTCAGAGTGATTTGCCTCAGTTGAAATGCCAGTTCTACAAATAACATTCAGTCCACTGGAATTCAGGCATGACAGCACAAGCTGTGGTGATAATTGATAAAAGCGTCCCCTCTTTTAACTCGGGTCATTCACTTATAAGGCTCTCCAATATCCTAATGTTGTAGGACAGGCAAGGAAAATGACTGTAAATTCAGGAAATTTGGATTTTTTTTCATCATTTAGAAGAGTTTTGTTGCAAGTTGTTAAAATGAAAAATTATGATGCACAGTCCATAGTATAGCCATGCTGAAATGCCTTTATGACTTAGGCTATAGCAGGTCTGGCCATTTGATAAGAGCCATAGCTCTTGCTCCCCTTCAGGCTCTTCTCAAATGCTCGAGGGAAGCTACAGATTGCTCTATGAAGCAAGTTGCTCTCCTTGAAATAAATTTTTCCTTTGTTTATTTTAATATCTATCTACAAACAACTCACCTGAAAATTTCAAAGAGAGCTGTTTGCCAGGCCTGCTATAGTCATATATATGAGTGTCTTTGTTAACAATTCAAATGCCTCTTCTTTGCAGGTCCCATCTGACAATGGCTTGATAGATGAATGGAAATGTCAAAAAGGGACTAGAAAGATTTTATGAACTACTATATGACATGGATCAGTATATATATTTAACAAAATTTAGCATACTCAAGTTTTGGTTTTTCTGAAAATACTCATTCTGAGATGTAAAATCAAATAAAAATAAGATAACTAAGATAGCCTATCTAAAATCCCTTGATTTACCTCTTTTTTTGCATCCCAATTCTCGGTAGAATGGACTCTGTTGACTCATTTGCCTCGTCAAGGCTTGCTCTTGTCAAAGGTGGTCTTGTTTTGGACAACAGAACTTGTCCCACCGAGAATCAAGATGCAAAAAGGGAGGTAAATCGAGGGGTTTTAGTTAGGCTATCTTAGTTCTCTCATTAAATCTTGGTAAAATCTATCTTTCTAAATTTTAAGGGATTGAGACACACACGCTTGATGTCACAAACAGAGCTGAAATTGAAAAACTTGCAGCAACTTTGCCAAAGGTTGATGTCTTATTAAATATTGCGGGGATGGTCTATGCAGGAAGCATCCTAGAGAGTACAGAACAACAATGGGACAAAATATTTGATGTCAATGTTAAGAGCATGTTCCACACATGCCAAGTCTTTTTACCAAAGATGCTAGCGGCCAAGAATGGTGTTATCATAAACATGGCATCAGTTGCATCCAGTCACAGTGGTGTGCCAAACAGATGCATTTATAGTTCAACCAAAGGGGCTGTTATAGGCTTAACAAAAAGTATGGCTGCTGACTTTGTTAAGGATGGCATCAGAGTAAACTGCATTTGCCCAGGTATAAACTATTCTTGTTTTGGGAGTACTATACTGGTATGGAAATAATCAAGTTATTTAGCAATTTTTTTGCAGATACAAACCAGATCATTTCTTCTAACCAATAAAAAATATGACACATTATGATAGAAACAGAGATGAATGACAAAACGATATAATGCCTTGCAAGAATTCAAGAAAGCTTAGTACATAAAGTGGCTGTTGTATAATCAATATTCTTAAACTGAAATTACTATTTGCTGGTCTGTAATAAAGTACTCGGGGCCATAGGTACATGGGCACAGCTGTTCATGCTATTTGCCATGTAGAACAGGACAGTTCTAAGTTGCTACTCCAAGTTATACTCTTTAGGATCATAAGGCTTCTGTTTACTTTGACTTTCCCATGTTTTGTAATAGACAGAATTTGAAATGTTATCTGCATGTTATCTGTCAACTGACTTTTTTGGTCTAAAGTTCTGCATGCTCATAGAGGTATACTTACACATCATCTGTGGATACCTTGTAGCACTAGTGTGCCAGTCATGCTCCGGCATATGTTTGAAGGTCCTGTCTTAAGCAAGAGTTTTTTCTTTGAAGGAACAATAGACACACCATCATTAAATGAAAGATTTGCAGCCACTGGGGATGCTGCTGCAGTTAAGAAGCAATACATTGAGACCCGTCAGAAGAGTGGCAGATTAGGAAAACCAGAGGAAATTGCTGCTTTGGCTGTTTACTTAGCAACAGATGAGGCAGAATTTGTTACAGGGCAAAAATATATAATTGATGGAGGCTGGACAATGTAGATTCAAGGGAATATCATCTGGGTAAATAGTGTTTTGATGCTGGTTTTAAGAAACAATTATTTGCATATTTTTATATTTTTATGAAGTAATGAATAGGAAATAGTTTAATTTTGATGAGATTTTGGCATATCAATAAGATGGAATGAAACTTAATATAAAAAATGATTTCATGACTATTTTCTTCTCTTCGCCTCTCAAATAAGCTAAACAGAATGCACTGGTCAAGCAATTGGTCAATTTTTGTGCATTCATTTTCACCTGACCCAAATATAGTGTGATTTGGCCGTAATTAAACATTTACTTGAGAATTTAATGCAAGTTACTGTTAACGGGTCTGTCATTATGTGGTCGATACCGTATAGGCAGAGCTGTACACACTATTTGGTGTATAGAGCAAGACGGTTCTAAGTTGCTACTCCGAGTTTCAAGCTTGATGCGATCATCAGGCAACTCTTGAGAATCTATAGTGCGCCTAAACGGCATCACATGCAAGACGTCTTCTCATTCAGGCGTTTTGAAATCTGTCGACATTATGACAAAATTCATGACTTGTGCCAACAGAAAGATTTGCTTCTTCTGCTCTTCACAAATATACGGGGGGATAACGATTGCTTGAAAAATGGGATCGATTTAACGCGCTACTCTTCTCAAATAACTTTATCTCATTGTAGATCAAACTTCACGTAAAATTTTCAGTAAAAAGGGCGTGGCCTAAAAACATTCATTTTGCCTCCGCCCAAAACTGTTCGAAGGTTTGGCACCATCATTGTCCTAAGCTATAATTTTCGTAAGTAACATGCCTTCAGAGAAGAAATAGATCAACCGCGAGCAAAACTTAGTACTTCGTTTCATTGTGCTGTTCTTTTTCCTTCTCATGACAAAAATTCAAAAAAATCGAAATCCAAATGTCATTTGAAGAATTATAATTAGCAAGGAGTAAACGCATGAAAATTAAATCAAATCGCAAAATAATGACCATCAGGAAATCTTAAAGAAAATTTTGATTGCTGAAAACTAATCTTGCTTGTCGTAGGATCGGCCGAATCTTGTTGGCATTATAATAATGATCAGCATAATCCTGCGTAATTTCTCTTAATCTAGAAGATTTAGATTCTATTCTTTTCGTTTAGTTTAAGTATTTCAAAATATCACGAGGATTTAGACCACACCGCGATGGAATTGACATTAAATTCCAAGTTGGAAATTAAAGCTACCACATAAAAAACGAATTGACAGTTTTTACTTGGCACACCTAGATTTTTAGAATAGACACCAAAATTTAATTTTCCTAGGGGTAACTAAAGATTCTAGATTAAGAAATAAACAAGAGACGCCCTGTTCCATTTATAAAGTATCAGTTGATGCATTTCTATCCATCAATTTACAAGGTTTTCTAATCTCCGAAGAGCTATTTCGCATAATAAGCTTAAAAAGTTGGTTTAACTCCCTCTAGAAAATTTATAAAAGGCTCTTGCACCGAAGCTCTCGAGATATTGGCGCGGATGAATTTTCACTTATACTCTCAATCTAGCATGCTCAAAATGTCAGTAATAATATCCCCTTGAAAGGTTTCGTTTTGTTTTAAACATATTAAGTTTACGATTCCTTTTTTTTAACAAAATAATGAAAAAACAATATAAAACTAAATATAAAGATATAAAAAGCCATAATGAATCCCCAAACACATTATGTCACAAATGTAATGCAAATTTACTTACAGAATTACAAATTTACTTACAGAGTTGCAGAACTGGCTACTCTGGGCACCAGAGAGTGAGACTGGTACCAAGTGGTCTTCGCAGATTCATGGATCTCTTCTACATCTTATATTCCCTTTCTGTGGATCTTCTATCAATTTCTCGTTCTTCAGCCCTAAGAAAATAAAATATTTTTTTTAACCTAGTTACGCCAAAGGGTTTTATCAGATACCATATCTCGTCAAAAAATGCAAAATAGACCACCAGAGTAACCTCTAAACAAAGTCTCTAAGCAAACATTAAAGTCTAGTTTTCATAACGTTAGGTGAAAATTTGAGCAGTTCAAGAATGCAAAGACGGACTAATCCCACATTTTTTTGCAGTATTCTAATAAAGTTGCATATGGTGGCATTGTCATGTGTACATAATTCAAAGATTGCAACTGTATACATTTTTGCTTCATTTTTGGAGATGAACTGTTGATTAAGCCCCGGCAAAACGACTGGACATTTTCGCTGAACATGCACTGGACAAATGTCCAGCGTAAATGTTGCGCCGTTTTTCCACCTTGTTCAGTCTTGTTCAATGATGTTGAGTGTTGTTGAGTCAATTTTGAAGTCTGTCGAAAATGTTCAGTGGACAGGATTAAATTTTTTCTGTTCAAAGATGTTGTAGAGAAATGTCCAGTCGTTTTGCCACTCTACTGAACACTGTCGCGAATTTATATCCCATATTCAAACACAGGATTTGGCGTTAATTTATATCCCATATTCAAACACAGGATTTGGCGTTAATTTATATCCCATATTCAAATACAACATTAATATTCAATTCGACGGAGAGCAGAAAAAAGCATTTCATTAGTAACGACGAGTCTTCTGAAAAGGTTAGCTTTAGTTCCAATGAGAAAGGCGATGGCAGAGAGCACGAGTACGGTGGTTGTGATAAACCTAGCAGGCCTAACTCTTCTTCAGACGCAGTTTTCCCGCGCGCATCCTACCACAGTGCAAACGTTCACTGGACAATGTTCAGTCGTTTTGCCACCACCAAAACTTGATGTCCACACACTGAACAAAGTGAACAATGTCCAGTGCATGGCCAATGTAGGACCCCGTTTACACTACAGAAAAAAGAACGGAACTTTCATTTTGAAGCATGCGCAGAAGCGTGCTTAATTACTTTTTCAAAATGGCAACCGAAGGAACTACAAATGCCACTGTGGTAATAAAAGTGCGAAAGAAAAGCGGACAAATTTTGTTTGGCCGGATGAAGAGGCAGCTTTGCTTATGAAAATTTTTATTGATTTTAAGACGTCAAAACCAAATGCCAGTCGTTTTGCCGGGGCTTTAGAAGATACTTTAAAAAATCTTAACACATGAACAAAGCCTCTTTTTTCTAACAAAGAATGCTCCAAGCTTCAGAACATAGTTTCTTCTATGTAAGATGAGCGAACATGGCAGGCGTTAGAAAGTCGTTCTTTTGTGGAGGTGTCCGTTGATTTTTTGAATGAAATTCTTAAACGATGAGGTATCTTTATGCGAATCTAAATTAGGTTTTAATTGAAAGCATGATATAGTGGAGAATAAGTAATTGTTTATGAAGAATTTCAATCTTTTGAAGCATTAAGGATGTGGTTTGGCAATAAAGACACTGTTGAATTGATATGAAAATACTTAAGGCACAGCAAAATATCAAATGACATTGGAGGGTGAATCAAGGACCTGAAAGGAATATGGGGGTGTCACGATTCTTGGTTGGACAGTAAAACACTTTGTAGATGGGTAGAAGGATCAGTTTTCTGTCTTCGTAAATCCTCAAGTCAAGAATGGGCAAGGTTCGCCACTCTATGGAAAATTGTCACTACAAGGAAACTCACCAGTGACGGCAGAAGGGGTTACTTAATTAATACCAAGATGTGTATTGTTATTAGATGCCTGCAAGTTTTCTTGCAAGCAATGTTCCGTTGGTGGTGGAATATGACTGCTAAATAAAGAACCACTTAAGAAAGACTCGTCACAGGAAGAGGGGGAGCTGGAAGAAATGTCATTTCCTATAGCTATTTTGTTTGGGTTTGTCTCTTATAATGAATTTACAGTGATGGTGGTTGCACTGTTCTTAAAAAACGTCAGTCTATTGATTAATGAACAAAAGAAATATGTTTCAACTTCAAAATATATCATGGTCAGATCAATGTTCTCAGAAATTATGACAGTGACGTCATTTGCTGCCCAAGGCCCTGCCTCAAACCTTTTCACCACTATGAACATTGGCAATAAAAATGAAGCAAATAATGTGAGATTGGTGTTCAAGAGCTGTAACTAATGCTGTTTTGGACAATGATTGAAAGAGAAACGATAAAATTTTGTATCATCTGCCAAAGAGAAAATTTTTCCAAAGTTTGAATTGAATTCGTAGCGTAGTTTAACGGAAATTGGTTCAAGGAGATAACATCTTAAATGGACGATAACATCTTCGAGAAGTACAGAACATCCCAGATCGATGACATTTGAAGGATACAGGACGGGTCTTCTTTGAAATTGAAGAACAGAAATGAAACTAGATAAGATGATGATAAGATCAAAATACTTTGGCACGGTTTTCAAAAGTTGCTACTATTGAATGGGAATTCAAGTTTAGCCTTTATTATAATCCTAAAACCACACTCACTAAGATACATACGATTAATATAAATTAGAATTCTTTAGGTTTCACCAAAAACGGGTTGAAATGCTTAGAATTTCGGATGCATGGATACCTGGTAATCGAAAGGTTTGTACTAGAAAGAATCAGTTCATTTGAGCTTATGCCTTAGAAAAGATTTCATAGCCTGCAAAAATATAAACATGAGATTGCTTGGGCCTTCAAATTTGAAGGACACCTACCGTGTTTAGCTGATGAGGGGTCACGATGGTCAGTGATCCAGAGTTACCTTTAACATTTACTATAAAAAGATCGAGTGAATAGCAAATGAAGCTGGCATCTTAATCTTCCAAAAACTTTAACTTCATTCAAAAATTCACTGAAAATCCTACGAGTATCAGCTGGAGGGATGAAGTAAAGTTTATGTATTTCCAAGTGTGTATGAAAAAGTTACAGTGCACAAGGCCTATTTTGAATATGGTGTCATATCATTTAATATTTTTGTGCTGTCTGCACCCCTACCCATTTCTGATCGCAAAAAGTCTTGTGTAGTTTTAACTTTATTTAATGGCCCCGGGGGTAGTCACAGTCTTTTGGTATCCAGGGTATCGTTTCCTATATTGTTGTATAGTAGTTTTTGTTAGTAAGGTTGTCTGTCTGTAGTATGTATTGTAACTTGTTAGTGGAATGTAAAAAAATATCGTGTGTGAAGCTGTCTTTATGCAGTCTTCCTATCGACAATCCATTTTTAATTACATTCAAAGCTAAAAGTGAGCTCGAGATGGCCCTCGAATGCCTTGTTGGGATAGGCTTAAGTTTTAAACAGAAACCCAAGGAGTCTCTCGATGGCCCTGGCTGCATCCACAACTCTCCCAGATCTTTGGTTGTAAAGAAAGACACATAGGCAGTATCATAATCGATGCCTTGTCATATAAGATTGATAGGAAGAGAAAATAGTCGCAAACGTGCAATTAAACGTTAATTCCTAAACTGAACTTAATTACAAAAAGTATTTCTTGAAGCACGTATTTAGATCGCTCACTTATTTGTCAAATTCAGAAAATTCGAAAAGTTCCAGCAAAGTTTGAACGGACACTTTATAAAATCAAGTAAACTGTTTTTTTGCTTCAAGTTGCAGTGTCGCATTGTTGGCGCATTTGTATGGAATATTAAGTGTGTGTGATGATGTTGTGGGTAGGATTCTCTCAATGCGTGGAAAGTATTTATTACTTTATAAACTAACTTTGTAGCTAAGGCCTTCATCGGTGGCAGGAAAGATTTGTCACAAAATTACAATAAACATTTATGCAATACTAATCAAAGTATCAAAACAAAATTCCGTCTGTTATTTGTATCCATGAAAACAGGTAAGAGCCCCAACCTCTTCTTTTCGGCGTCGTGCTTCATGACGTAAGTAACAGTAGCGTTTTACCTCCCAGGTAAAAGATCGACACGATGATGTAATTAGTAGTTAAATGCAGAGATGGCAAAAATCTAACACGAGACCGAGACAAATGCATGGACCAGAAAGGCAGACTTGAAAAACACCCTGATAGCAAAACATATGAAAGGTCTGGCTAACAATCTTTTTTACTCTAATTTAAGACCCCGTTGATCCAAGATTTGATCCGATCCAGCATTTCTTTTTCTCTTCAAAATTTGTTCATATTATCCAAATAGAGTTTAAAAGTGATGACGTAACAAAAACCAATTTTTTCAAAGTTAGATCACATAGTTTAAATAAGCATAATAAAATACTTCTAAATATGTGAAACGAGTTCAATAAAAGACAAATTTGCTAAGGTAGCGCCAAAGGTGTAAAGGCTCTTTTCCTATCAAATCCTTCTTACTTGGCCACTGTAATTAAAAAAATTAACTGATTTTGCACTTATATGGTATTTCATGATGTTATTTCATGTTATATTACAAAAAGTTAAAGTTTCTAAATATGTATTCTTTGTGATGTCACACTCGCGAACACTATCAAAACTATGGTAGAACTTAACTTCTTCTTATTTCAGTTCGAGGCACTTTGTATGTTTATCTAATCTCTTTCGGTTCGGAGCCAGAAAAGGAAAAGCGTAGTGTAAATCTTCGTTGAAAAGTTAGCGTGACAAGTTTCATCCAGAAAGTCTTAAATATGCTTATAATGTGGAAGATAGTAATAATGACACGTTACTCGAACAGATAAAGGACCCATACAAAAGTTTCAAATTTCAAAAAAAATATATCAAAATACAATTTTGTGAATTCTAACTCCATAACATGAAATAATGCCAAATAATTGAATATAAAACGAGCTTGTGTCCTGGTGCATAACAATAATGATATATGTGATGCCTTGCAGAGTCACATCACAACGCATGAACACATCAAGACCACAAGAAACAACAAATGCTAAGCCACTTTGCCACGGATCAAAACTGAATATGCGCTAAAGGGATTTTATTACATGAGGACAAAGTTATACAACAATTTACCTATAAAGAAAATAACTGCCGAAAACAAAAGTATTTTTAAGGAAAAATTGGATCTTTTTTAAATGAAGTAGCTTTGATAAACTAGGCTTTTTAAATTCATCATGGACTTTTAACATGTTCATAGTTATGAAATTGTAAATTAGGCTTTTAATATTTCTTTTCCTTTTCGTTAAGCAGGACAAGTATTGAAAACAGCAATACTTATGTTGACGTTTTATCCTGTTGAAATATTCGTATTGTCTGATATATGGTCAGCAAAAGATACAAGTTTAGCTAACGAATTACTGTTGTTTTTGCCCTGTTCATAAGTTTTAGAACCAGGGCAAATTTCGGTGATTTGATGGAGAAAGCCGAAAATGCTCATGCTTATGTGGCAATTCTCCAGGGCCTATTTTGGTGCGGTTTTTCCCACATTTCGTGGTCTTGGAAATTCAAAATGTGGTCTTGGAAATTCAAAATTGTGGAATGGGTTTTTTCATTTTAGCTATATTTTTGTTATAAATATGTTTTTCTGTAACATCCATGAATCGTAGCGCAAGTTCCTTGGTCCAGATTAATCTGGTCCAACAAGAGCGAACAATGTTACAGCCAATCAGACCTTGTAAAAGACCCCTGAATCTAGCGACAGTAATTTGGCCCCTGAACCAAGTTGATTTCTGATTACTCTCTAAGGCCCCCAATAAATGGACTCCCTCCAGTATTAGATTTTCAAAAATCTTTAAACCCCCTGCTATTATTAGAAACCTCTGCTTTTTAAATTTTCTTGGCTCAGCGTGTCCTTCAATATTAAAATAAGTATGAATTATAGAGCTTCTAGCAATGTTAACCTTTAACTACTGTTACTGTCGGAGTCCATGAAGAATAGGCTATAATAGAAACATATTTATAATCGTCTTATGTTGAAAAACGCTTTCTACGGCAACGGTCGATATTTGAAATTCCATGCTTCGTATACAGGCTTCTTTTCTTAAAGTGTGGTCTTGGAAAATTCCATAAAATAGGCCCTGCAATTCTCACTCCATTTGCAGCAGATTTAACTGATTTTGCAAATTTGGAAGTATAATGCGATGTTCTCTCAAGTTCTAGAGTCAGAATTCTAGAATACTAAGTATAGATTATTGATGACGTTTCTATAGCAATGATCAGTAAGTGAGATGGCAATGAAAAATATGTTTTCCCCCTTCAACATAAAACCATTGAATAACCGAAACAACGAATAGTCTAATTTTTTTCTCAAGTCTAAAAATTGGGATACACTGGTATTGCTGAGACGAGAAGCTGTATCCTAAAAATTATTTAAAAATTTTAGTTTCAAAGGAAAATAAAATCTCAAATTAAGTTAAAAGTAAAATGACATCTAAAAATTGAAAAACAAAGAAATGAGTACTTAATTTTCTCTGAAATTTTAATGAAATTTTGTTTGTAAAAAATAAAAATGTTGTAGGAACAAAATTATATTCTTTTCATATGAAAATTCTGAAGCTTAAAACCAACTGCAGCTACTTTTATTTTCTGTCAAAAATTTTATCTTTGAAGCTTAAATAATGAGGAACCTTATATAATTTCTACATTGCTGCAAAGCAACTCCAATGCAAATAGGTTTGCGAGTCTGGGCACTAGCAGAAAGGGTACAAAGTAAAATTTTGTTCAAAAATGTATAGACAACAAAAGCAAAGGAAGCCACATACCATTTGAATCGAATATTTTGCCACGTGCATTGATTATAGGGTAGGCAAGGCAATGTGCCAAGTCTTACCACATTTTTCATTCTAAACCACATATGCATAGACTTGTGTGGTTAACTCAATGTATGAAAGAATTATGCTGAATTCAGCTATATCAGACAAGCGAATTCCACGAAACCATCAGTGATACCAAAAGCCCCACAAAACAAGTGGAGCTCATTTTCTACGGAAATGCCCTCGTCTATGGGGAGCAAAATTTTCATAGAATTTCTTGTCATGTGAAAGCTAAAGTAACCAAGATTATTGTAACAATTAATTACAATGATAACTACGAGTAATAAGACATCCTCGAGTTCGGTCCCCTTTTAATAAAACTTCTGAGGCAGTCAAAGTTGAAGAAACAAACAGAATTGAATATATAAAAAATGTTTTGCCATAGATATATAAAAAAATCGGACTCTTGGAAGGTTGATAAGTGAAAAGCTTTTTATGGAGCCATGAACGTAGGGAAGCAACCAATTCTTAGAAATTGGTCGTGGTTAACGTACGCTGAGTTCTTATTTAGCCCCCGAGAACTTTCTCAATGCCTGTTCAAGCTACCTTCCTAGGGCCAGAGTCTAGAAGATTGGGAAGAGAAACAATTTCGTTCCTCCTCATTTCCCAGGTTCTGGGTAGTTCTTTATCCATGTAAGAATGGTTTTTAAAATTAGCTCCTGAAAGGAACATTTAAATCGAATATGACCAAAGATGGCGAAAACTGTGAAATGTTAGCAACAGAATAAAAAAGAACAATAACGAGGAAGAGAACACTATAAAAGGGCATTTTTCACAAGGCAGGAAGCAGCTTTGTAGGGTGTTTACTACTTCTCCAGGACGTGCCTCTGCGTAGGAAGACCAAAACCGGTTTTTCCCTCATTTTTAAGTTACTGTACAAAGGCATTCCTGATTGGCGACAATCAATGATTGCCAATCAGCAAGATGGGTGCAGTTATTGTAATGGTGTACAGCCCGTCCTACGCACGGGCTGGCACTCGTATTGCCTTCCCACTGATTTGGCAATGCAATTTAGAATTCAAAAGATTTGAGTTTATTAGATCGCCTTAAAATATTACAAGGTTTTTATTTTTGCTTTGAAATCAATATTCAAAGCTATTCTGTATTAGATTTATTTCATTATACTGGCCCTTTTGTCTTTCATACAGTATATTAATAGGCAACGGGCCCAGTGATTACATCAGCCACAAACAGCTTGAATGTCAGCTAGCCTTGTTATGTTGTTCGACGTTCTAAATACATCAGACGACTTGCAGTAATAGCACCTACTCTGTCGATTTGCCACAAAGCAGGACGAAATCTTTGTCGATACTGCTATCGTCGCTAACACAGGTGAGTTTCAGCATTGAAACGATTTCTCTTTGTAACCAAGTTTCATTAGACTTTCAAAAACTGGCCTTGTAACTAAGTTATATTCGGCTCTAGGGAGGGAGGCATTGCAGTTCCCAAGCCCCTCGCCATATAGACGTATGAATACGACTGTTTACTGAAACATTTCTGAATTATTGCAATCTCTTAAATTGTTAAATCCTGACATATAGAGTGATGCATTATGGGATTCATACATCACGATAAAAGCACGTGCCGATAGAGCCAGTTCGAATTTCCGTTCTCCGCGCGTAAAGATTAACTTCTGGTTTTATACAAACAATTTCGCTTTGAAGAACTCCCGGTACTGTTTTCAAGAATTTTCAGCTCTTATACCTCACGAATTTGCGGGCACTGAATGAAAATTGCACAAAAAGTTCTAGCATTGAATGGAATGGCGATAGCTAGCCTTGGCTTTTTTAACGCTTAACCCCTTTCTTTAGTTTTATCATCGTTATTTACCTGTTCCTGCAAGAGAACCAATCATTTTCCGTTATGAAAGTGGCCTTTAATGAGCAATAGCCCTAAGTAACGTTTCATTATCTTTTAAAGTTACAAGTTAAAAGAAAATTGACGTAACTACCTCCTCTTCAATAGATAAGAGAAATTTCACAAGCAGGCTTTATGAAATTTGTGCTGTCTCAGAGTTATTTCAAGCTGCGGCAATTGTACAGTACAATGAAAAGACACGTAAGGGCGCGATAACGCAGGATTTTTTCTAACACATTATAGTTTTTGACGTCATTATGGTTCATACATTTGATACGCGGACCTTGTGAACAGTGTCTGCGTTAGGCTTTTGTAGTAAGACTGTATGTGATTAAATCGTTTTCTACAGACAAAAGCCGGGTTTAGAGGTCACTCAAAGTTGGTCCGAGCCAATACCACAACCATTCCAAGAATACCATTGGTGACTGATAAAACCAAGAGACGCGTGAACATCAGCCAGATCAGTCAGTATATCAACCAAGATGGATGCTACATTTTCAGCGGGAGACTTAATTGAGGAAGACGCAGTTTTACCAACTGATGTTTTGATTAAGGACATATTTAGTCGCTTAAGAAGAACATCTGGATCGGACAGACGAGTTCGATGCTTTTCTATGATAGAAGATACAATGGAGGATACGGAGAATGATAAAACGGACAGCGCTTTACCACCGGACAACAGGAGACGGCACCCATCCCTTCAACGATCGCTATCGCATGAAACAACGCTGAAAAGGCGCAAGAGGAATGATGTTAGGCAGAGTTTGAATGAACAGAGCCTGTGTGCCGAATGGGCATCATATACTCCAGAAGAGCGAGAGATCCTGAAGTTTGTAATACTGAAAGCGGACGACGATGGACAGTGTTCTTGCGACGGGCGTCGGAGAACGGCAAAAAAGAACGGCAAACTACAGCGTCTCAGACTTAAAAAGCCGAAAATATTTAGTCGAAATCAAAACAATGAAGTCGTGGACGCAGAAAAGGAGAAAATCAACAATAATAAGGGATCCTCCAAATTTCCGAACTTCATCAGGCGGTTTGTCGAATGTTCCAGTCAAAAATCTTCATTACAAAGCCCTAGAATGAACCGTAGGCAAAGTGGGTTGGAAAAGAAACACGGCTTGCCATTCCGAGAGGTGAATGGTGACCGGGCAATAAGAAGACCGTCGGGGAACTCACCGCTTCATGCTATGATCAGGGATGAAATACAGCGATCGACGAGTAACTGCTGCTTGTCGGCAAGCAGCTTCTCTGTTGTTGAAGAAATTGAAAAAGCCCGTATGGAATATTCGAGCAAAAAGGACAAAATGCCACGTCGGGCGTCTGATGCACAAAATAAAAGAAACTGCAAAGAAAGAGTGAAATTGTTTCGGGCTAACAGCGCTCGACAAGTGCGATCGAACAATCGAGAAGAAAACGAAACATTTTTTGAAATATTTGAGAAATTTAGAAAAGATCCAATGACACTTGTTGATGATACGGAACTGCATTACTAATCAATATCATAAAATACTCGTAATTTATTGGTATTATTTATCGTATAGTATTAATTTATTACTGTTTTGAGTAAATTCAAATATTAGTTGTGTTGATAGAGCATTGCACAATTAGTTGCTTTAATATATATCAATTTTCTGATAAAAGTGGTATACAAAGAAAAGTGGAGTTATGCTTAATTCTTTATTCTGTTATTACAATCAGAAGGACTCGCAAATGGGGATATCGGGACTGTTAGCAATATAGACACCATATGATAGTATTTAATACAGAACAAGATGTTATTTCGAGGCATTTTACAATTCTGCAATACTAGTAATAGGAAAGTATTCCATGATATTATCTTGCCCAAATCCAAAATTTTGAGTGAGGTTTTTCTAACCTATATAAAAAATGAAAACTTTTTCGGCATTCGCTTTTGTGAGAAATCGGAGGAAAACTAATTTTTTGAGTAGTTGGAGGACATAGTGAAAAACTATTTGAGCAGACTGTTCACTTGTACTTTCTACGTCAAAATGTCACATATTGAAAAACATTGTATCAAAAAGCACATATGTCTGCATCTCCTTATCTCCAACGCCAATATGCTACAATGCCTGCCAAAAGTACTTGGAACACTCAGAAATTTACGCTGTATTTGATATCTTTCATTTCATGAAAAGACGCGCCTTTCATGAAAAAAATTGCTACTTCCGCCCCCTTCCCCCAAAAAAATGTTGATGATTTAGAGAAATACTATAAAAGAAGCGCAAAAGAAAGTGCTTCCTAAAATCCTAACCCCTTTGATGGTAAACCAACATTGTTCTGTAGGGGAGAGGGGGATGGTTGATTTTGACCTTGGAAATTGATGTCAGTGTTGCATGACTTTCGGCAGGCATTGTAGGTAATTGTACCGCATTTATAAGAGGTGATGCAAAAACATGAAAGGAACATCTATCTATTCACCGTATGAATTGGTAGTGCTCATTGAAAATGATTGCGTAGGGAAGAGAGACGCGCCCAAGTACTCAGCGGAAATGGAGGTATTTTATCATGTAAACAATAGTAATTAAGATTCATAATCATAATCAAGATTCACAATCAATGAAAATCACAAGTTGATGTTTAGGAGCAACATGCAACTTTAAAGTATTACGGTGATTTTCATTACGCCATTTTTCTAAGCAACCGAGAAAATGTAAGGAAAAATAAGAAAGCGCGATTATATTCTGTTTGTTTTAACATCTTTCGCCAGAGTTTTAATTTTAACTATATCTTGACATCACTTTTATTTGAATATCTTTCTGTGAAATACTATTTCGCGAAAAATGTATCTGTTCAGAGTTCAAAATAGAGTTACAACAAGCATGAATGAATCAGGGACAAAAAAACGAAACAAAATTTATTGAATTTTCACATAACTGATCTTCCAACCCTTACTTCTACGCAAGTATAAGCCGGTGATTACACAGTTAAAAACAAAAGCAAAGATTAACTTTTATTGATATCATTTTCGTTTACAGAGCTTTCAAATCGGTTATGACTTTTGAACTTTGTCTAGATCGACTAGATCTACTTTCGTTAAACATGCCAGTTAAAAGGGTTTAAATAAGTATTGTATCTCAGCAAAAAAGTTATGAAATATCAACATATTACTCAGAGAAAAGGCGACATCTGGGATGAGTACGTGTTCATCTCTTTTTTGCACAGCAAGAAAAAAGATTTAATATTTCCAGAAATGGTAAACATAGGCCTAAAAGTTTATAATATATTTCAAATCAAAGTACCGATGTGACATGTGAACCCGCTAGTATTAATGTACAATTTCTAGTCCAGGGAGATGGTTTCGATTGTACTAGTCATACAAAACCGTTTTAGAAGAAACTCCCATTTCCTAATCTAGATTATAAGGACTAATCATCGATGAAAAAGAGGCTCGGTCATGTCCTTGATCCAGATAACCGCAACTAATCTTTGCCATACATTCAATGAGAGGTTCAGTTACATTTTTGTATGAATGTATTATGCTCTTAATCCAGATTACACAGCCATGAATCTCACTCAAGCAAACTGAGTCTTCGGATTTAAATTAGCTGACGGTTTATTCGATGCCACTGTGAATCAGTGGACCTGCGATTGAACAGGAAACCTGGGATATTCATCGGCTCCAAAATGTATTTGAAAAGAATTTTTAAAACATCACCAAACTCTAAAGGAATTTCGTTAATGAGATTATATATTTGGTTGTCTGAAATGATAATATTCTAGTACCAAAATACAAAGAGACAAAATCGAATATAAGATCTAGACAAAAGATATATTATATTATCATCTACCACTTTGTCTAGATATATTATCATCTACCAGAAAAATGGAATTTGACTTTTTTCGTGGTCTCAAATTTCTCAACATAGCTAGCAAATATGTTATAAAATAATATGGCAGTTATTAACAGTCTTTGGTAGTCAAATGTAGCGAACGGCCACACGTCTTCAGTATGCGGGGACTATGGTCGAAAGCAAAGAGGGTACGACAAAGGGGCAATGCGCCAATTACAACTACACTTATTTTCCCCATAAGAATACTTTTTCATTCTCGATATTTGTAAGACATTTTTTGCTTTTTGTAATTCTCTGTTACGAACATCGCAAAACAGGCAACTGTTGAAAATGCGACGCCAATATCGAAGTGAGGCTTAGCAATATACTTATAATATTTCTAAAACTTTTATGATTCTGACTGTGAACATTCTTATAAACAATATTCCTATTTACGTAAAAAAATAAATGTGTGCTTTCAGCTATTCACAAGAAGATAAAAAATACAATCCGGAGGATATGAAGAAAAAAAGCAAATAATTAAACATGAAAATCGACCAATTATTAAATAAGCAAAAAATTATATAAACGTTCAGAAGAATGAAAATAATCAGCTGGCTATAATCAAATAAAAATTCAAAAGAATTCGTTCAGAGTACATTCATAACTGTTACAAAGAAACAATAAAAAAGATCACTAAATACTGAGGCGTAGCTGAAGGACAAGGATAGCCCCTATTTGGCGGGGGATTGAGGCCCCAAAAGCCCCCATTATTTCTTACAATGGTTGTATCCCCTCAAACATCATATTGACATCAGATTTGTCAAAAGATTTTTAAAAAGTGTTGCGTCTTTGTCGAAATTCATCAAAATTGTACCATCTGAAGAATTAACTATGATTATAATGGCTGACTTTTTAAAATTCATGTTTCTTATCATCACTTAAATAGACATTTGAATGGGAAATTTAACCATGGGAAAATTAAGAAAACAGCGATTAAGTCATGAGATATTATACCCAGTGATGATAAATTTGTCCAGCTTACTATTTAGATATTCCGTAGGCATTTATTCGCAACTTTCCAACAAAATTGTTCTATTCGAATAGATTCATTATAAACTCTGATGTGAGAAAAAGTATAAATTACTTAAAGATAACAAAGTGTCTAACTCTTAGTTTCAGTGTCTTTGTTCTCAATTAAAGTTTCAGATATAGAAATATCTTTAGTTTTGTCTGTCTTTTCCATTTCACAATGTTGTCACTAGCTGTTTGGGGTCTCAGCGCATTGTTGAAAGCATGCTTGCATGTTTTTGTCTTAAACTTACTTAAGCAAGGCTAATGAAAAATAGATAGGCAAAGGTTTGTAAACATTGTCATTTTTAACATTTCAAATGATTGCATTTTAGCGTTGGCCATAAAAATATAGAAACCTGTGTCTAGATGAGAATGAAATTGTTTTGTAGTAGGTTTAGACAAGAATCCTTTAATGTATAACAATGTATAACTATCTTCTGGTTGTCTTGGCCTGAGCGAAATTTTGTCAAATAAATTGCTTGTATTCATCAACAAAAGTAAGAAATTCGTACTATCGTGCCTTGCTTTAAGGAAGCTTTGTAAAAGTTTGTCACATTAATTGATTTCTCATGTTCAAGTGTTAGTATTAATGTAAGCTTGCATCGGTCGCTTAATCTATTCCTCTAAATCTCAGTTATGATCTAAGGCAGTAATTTAATACGATGAAACGATTTTTTCTTTACAGCACAAACTTTTGCCTGATTGAGGAACTAGAAAATAGTAGTATAGAAAATAAACAGCGCTTCTTTCGAAGAATGGCTTGTGTGAAAATCAAAAACAAAATTTTAATTAGTTGTGACTCGCCGTTGACGTAGAGGGAAATGAGCAAGATTTCGCAGCGTGTTTTACTGATAAATCGATCACATTTTTCAGTGTAAAGGATCATCTTATCGTCACCAAAGATTATGACACCTGTTTGAAACCAGAACCAAGAAATGAAACTTTACCACATAGTTTCTGGTTTAGCAGCTTAAGAAAAGATCAAATTAGGCAATCTGTGGTGACTTTTTGTTCACGTTAATGCGAATAAAGAATAAAAATGTTCCTCTTTGTAAAAGTCTTGCCAAGAAACTGCTAAGGCAAAGCTCTATATATTTGAAAACCAGAATATCAAGTATATGTAGTTATCGAAGCAATTTCTATCGTGGCAAACCAAGAAGTAAACAAGGATGAGTGTAATTGGGTAAAATCCCTTTTTGTCTAGTATTAATTAGGCTAGGGCTTAGGACAGAAAACGTGTTGGACCCCGTGTTGAAAGATTCATTGCCCAGATCAACGAAAAAAAAATGAAAAAAAGATAAGGAAAGAAAAATCAATTTTCAAAATAAAACTGTAGCGATTCGATGTTTTTATTATGTTTTATAAATACTTCATACATGTATAATAAATGGTGAGATAATAATAAATGGTGAATGCTTCTTCGAGACACGCGCACTCTTCCATGTTTTAAAACCTATCTACAATACAATTTACAAAAGCTCGTTCTTTTGGGGCAGCATTTTGGAGCACAACAGAAAGGGGGCATCATTTTGAAATAACGGGACACGCAAAGGGGCAGTTTTTGGTCAAATAGAGGATTACCTAAAAGTTTGGAAAAATTATTTCTACAAATAACAAGGGGAGCTGGTAGAGTATCAAAAAAGGCGATAGCAAATCCCTTTAAACTTCGATTTAAATCATTTAATGCAATGTATACTAAGATATGTCTGGATTCCCTTTAAAACACGGCTCGCCTAAGGTAAAGTGGGATTTTCAGAGGAAACGCATGTCAGATCTTGGAAAGATTGCGCTATTATGGTCGTGCTGGCTGCCAACCCGGATGCTCTTGATAAAATCTTTTCCAGAAAAAGGTTTTTGGACCAAGTCAATCCAAAAGACAGCCAAGAGTCCTACAGGCATCCTCCGTGAGAGCTTTTTTAAACTGATTCTGCCTTCTTTTCTCATCTAGACTAGAATGTTTCTGTATAGCGTTTCTGTATAGCTATCACATGCTATACGAATGTATACGAATGTTGGTAAGCCATTAATGTCAGAGAAATTGAATAATTTTGCCTTAAAGTTCGAGGGGCATAGATAGGTAAGTACAGCTCTTTTCAGAAAAGGACGTTTTTCCAAAAGTTCAAAAGTGGGCACTTCTAAGAGGATGAGCATTTTTCAAAGAATTGAGGGGGCATGTGTCTCCTTTGCCAACCATTGCGACATTCCTATTTCGAATTCAACCAAACAGTGTAGTAGGAAGTTAGCGTAAGTTTAAAACTCATTCCCATGTAAAACCAATTTTCCCTGTAAACTATCAAAGGCAATATATTGTACTCAGATTGTAGAAAAAAGAAGCTGCTCAGATATCGTAGGAGCACTTAGGATTGAAAGGCTGATGACCATAAAGAAAAGGACAACCAGACAGTTCTGTTTCAGTTAGGATTTCAGCAGTCGAAATAGGTGTCCGGGATGAAGGTAAAGATAAATTAAGAAATTATTCAGGCAGTGACCAGGAAGACAATTAAATGAATCCACTCAATAATGTATTCAAAAAATTCAAGCCCTAAATTTAATGTAGAAAACGAATTAGTTCCTTGTAAGCCTTTGAATTAATGCATCAAATTTACGTCAGGAGTTATTCAATTAAAAGAAAATGTCA